TTTTGTACTACTGTTTAAAAACATTTCATTGGATAAAAGTACAAAACTGCTCGTCAAGGTTACTTTCATTCTATTTTAATATTTTTATTTAGTATAATTAAGTATTGATGAAATAACGCTGGTGTTTCTCTTCTACAGTAATGTGACATTAGATTGCCGGCACAATTCTGTTAGGCATCAACACAACTCGATTATGCTGGTTGCATATCTATTATAGAGCACGAGTGGATTATTCACACAGATAAATCGTTCATTGTTCGTCCTCAGCAATCTAATGTCACATTACTGTAGAAGAGAAACACCAGCGTTATTTCATCAATACTTAATTATACTAAATAAAAATATTAAAATAGAATGAAAGTAACCTTGACGAGCAGTTTTGTACTTTTATCCAATGAAATGTTTTTAAACAGTAGTACAAAAAATAACACAACAACCATCTCAGTGAATTTATCACTGCATCATTTTTTTACTCTTTTAATTTGTACATAAGTTATCATTAACAGTTGCATTAGTCAAAAAGACTAACATTAACGATGATAGTTTCTTATTTTTACTTGTGCTAAGAACAGATAATTCCATTGATAACAATATATTTCACTGATTTATTGATTTGTTTTCAGAAATTAATAGTACATGGTGGTGCTGAGATAATATATTATGAACTGGACAAGAACGTTAGTATTGTGTAACATACTTCGAATGAGAAAAAAATATCATTTAAGTGTATCCAATTCATCTCCGTTAAAAGATCATCGCTTACCGCCAATGAGTTGTGAAATCGGTAAGCCAGAGAATGGTTGAAAATACTTCATTCAATCAGCATTCAATGAAAAGTTCCGAGAACAGTTACAAAAACGAAGGTTTATGTGTCACACTATGATTAAATAGTTATCTGTTTTCTCACTAAATTTAGCGTGCTTCCAGGAGCTTCCAAAACATTAAGGTCGCACAAACCTATAAATCTCTTTGTTCTCTGTACCTAGATTAACCTTGGATGTAAAACTTCTTTTCATACCATCTCTTTGTGGCTCAGGTGTAGAAGAAATGTGGCGAAACAGTAATCATTTAGTAAATAGTTATCAAGTCTTCTGCCATTAAACTTACCACTGGCTTCTATTCTGTGTCATTTATAATAATAATAATAATAATAATAATAATAATAATCTTGTGAGTTGTTAAAGGAAGTTGTGTGTCTTTTTCTGACTTCGTTTACGCTTCTACTGAATGATCATTAATATATTAATCCGTCAATAGAATATTTAGAATTTCAGTTGAATTGGGTTATGGATATTTATTTCACTTAAGATATTTTTATTCAAATAACACAAAAACACCAACAACGACCGAGTTAACGAATAATGTTGAACAAGCGAATATGTATGCTTAAGATAATGACTAATTTAAAAGACATAAACACTCAATGTTTAAGCGGATCCGTTAGATAATGGCGTAGACTGACACATAAATTAGTTCAATCATACAACCTCACTTCTACAAGCATGAATATATACGTATAAAAGTATGATAGAATTATGATGGCTTGATGTAATACCATTCTGTCTGTCCACCAGATAGGCTAATAATTCAAAGATAGAGTAATTTGAACATGTATATAACTGTGTGTCTGTGTATGGATTTAGGTATAAATCATATTTACTGTGTTCCAGAAAAAATGCATCGAGTTGGACAGAATGAAAACAGCATAAAGAATAGCTGAGATGAAATAATTAGTGTACAACCGTTGGAACAGTATGAAATTGAAATGTAATGATTTGTGTGAGTTTTATGTTTATTAATGAGGAATTCAAGTCAATAAACAAAATTTTACGGCAAACAATTGCCCAAAAAAAAGTTTTTAAAACTTTCATTCAAAAAGAATAATTTTAGCGTGCAAAGTGTTCGTCGATTAGGAGGTAGCATTGAAACGATATTTCCTACTCCCTATTTAAATATCACCTATGAAACAAGTGTTATTCCCTCATTCAATGATCCCTTTCAATAATATGTGCCTTTTTAATGGTCACCCCTATTACTACTCACTCTTTTCCATTGCACCATTTTGATAGTCTCTCTTTTGCTCGCGCTCTTATGAATGAATACTTCTGGGCTGGGTTAGACACTACTTATCTCGTCTCAGCTGGAAGTTTTGTTGGACAATTCCGAATTGGTTCACCCATACTCCTTCATGTCTTCTACCATGGTTCCATTAGCTAGGAAATAATTCTCCAGGTATGCAAGCCATAAAACATGATTGGGCGCTTTAAAGATAGGGTTGTAATACTTAATTATGTAAGTCGGTATTAATGAGTGTATCAATGCTATAAGACTAAGAGACTTGATATAATTTATCAATATGGGGACTTGTGGAAATTATAGTATTTTAACAGTTGAGTTCACGAGTCTACCTAAGCTAGACCGCGCTCTCACGCAAGGCCGAAGGTCCTTGATTCGAGTCTCGCGTACGAAATCGTGGATGCACACTGCTGAGGAGCCCCATAATAGGACGAAACGGCTGTCGAATGCTTTCAGGTTTTCATTTGCGACATAATTTAGTTGAATAGCCTTGTCGTGACTCCCTAACCTATATTGTCTAACGTCGAAGTCACAACATTTTCTCTCTTAACTTGCTTTACCGCGACAGTCATAGTTTACCTCTCCGTAACAACCCTTGAAGAACGAATTTAACCTTACCATTAAAGTATATTTAATGCAAAGACAAAAGAATTACATTGAAATATAATTCCTTCGTGGTTGAGCTCTACAACCTGAATAACATCAGCGCGTTGGTGTTCATTGACTTTATTTTTCATTTATCATTTAACGTCAAAATGTAAAACTTTTGAAGTAGGATTCATACAACTTGAAGTATCACATAATTGGATTTTAGCGTTATCCCTCTGTCACTAAAGGAACAAGAATGATAACACCCACGGACTCTATGTTACAAGGTTCATTAGGATTAAATTTTTCAAACATGTTCAACTATAACGAATGACTATTATCAACAGTTGAGATCATGAGTCAATTGAAGATAGACCACTATGGAAAACCTGGAAGCACCGGACGGCCGTTTCGTCCTATTTTGTTCCAGTGCTTCCAGGTTTTCCATGGTGGTCTATCTTCAATTGACTCATGATCTCAACTGTTGAAATTATTACAATCTCCACAAAACCCCTTCTGATACGAATGAATATATGTTTAAACATAGAAAAAAAACATACCGGTAATAATAATGATAATAACGAGCTCAACGAATTATACTGTAATACAAAATGAAATAGAATCACTAAACATTTACAAACCATTTAATTGTATAAATTAAAAAGTAAAATATCAATATTATTGTTGTCAATGTTAATTTATGTGTAAAAGTTGGTCCACATAACTAAATGGAATTTTTTAAACTCGGTTCTCATTTAGTTTACTACTGTACTGCCAACAATATAGACCGTTTTTCACTCCAAGTAATATCGATGCAGTAGGCGAAATGTGTCCATTCACTATTACATGTCTTATTGTATGTCTGTATTTAGAAATTTATTAAAAATATATTTACATATCACACTTCCCCCGTAACCGTTTTAAGGTTACTGCTGTTCCAAAGCCCGGGTAAAGAAGGAGGGTTGGGCATGTAGTCAGCAACTTCGTCCCGTGGAACGCAAACTTGCTAAACAAAACGCTAACCAGGAACAATCATTGAAACAATCTAAACTCGAATTTGAAAGTTGAAGAATCTTCATTTAGAAGCGTTATGATGACTCACGGTGATTTCCATCCGTTCTTCAGCTAAAAATAGCTTGTAATAACAATCATCGTATTATAATGTGATCATGTTTGTTTTTTTATCATCTCAAGTGAATGATAAAAGTATGCAAACCGATCAACATGTTATTTTCTAATCGCTTTTTATTTCTGACTTCTATAATTAAAACGAGTCACTTTATGATACTCTAGCTGTACAGTGTTTTTTTTGTTAGACTTTTCGGCTGATGTAAGTTCTTAATACATTACTGTGTAATGATATCATGAAGCCATTGTGGTATAGATATAATGCTGATCAAACTATTTCCAGTCACAATAATCTCAATGGTATCATTGTTTTATGTTAGTCAGTAAACCCTGTTTTCAGGTAGGTTACATGTCGTTTGTCAATGTGCTGTACCCTCACTTGAACAAGCCGATACTTTTCCCTGTACTCGAACCTGTGTCAACCCAGCTTCACAGTCTAAGACTTTACCGTTGATCTAATAGTGTCACGACTCACCTCCTGCAAGGCTGAGATGTTTCCATAGAGTAGCCGTTGAGTAGTAACCGTTAGCACGTTTGTCTAGCCCTTTGGTACCGACCGAATTTTATTAATGATTCTGCGTTTCGACTCCTAGATCATGTGACTTAACACTATATTTTCATTTCTTATGCAGTTGAAAAGTGTTGGTGATACAGCGTGGCGAATGGTGAAGTATAACCTGTAAGGATACCATACAAAGAATTATTGTCCATATTTTTAACTCAGTAATTATTAGACGCTTAGACTTGCATTATTTTATTCTCCGATTTCTAAGCTTTCATCTAACCCAGAAATCGTTGTCATATATCTTATTGTTCCAGATTTATAGTTAATTAATTAATTCCCCATATTGTACCACTTGTAACTAGCTTAAGTAAATATTGTGATTTTCTAATTGTGTTGTTGTATGATCAGACATTCCAGATATGTTATTGTATGAGTTTTGTGTCATGATTGAACCGACTATAATAAAGAGAGGGAGATCATACAACCATTCCCTGTTACTATGTCCTGACCACTCAAAACCCAATACAACCCGAATAATTTGTTTGCTTTTTTCAACGTAATAGTCAGTAGAAATCCTTGCTTAATCCAGTTTAAATATCAGTTTTTTTTCAATTATGAATGTACTGAATTCAAGTAAGTAGTAGCAGTATCCTACTGTACTATGCTTTTTTCTCCTCTTCCACTCTCTCACTTATCCATATAGATCGAAGGATTAGATATTTCGTTGATTGAAAATCCTGAAGATTACCCAACTGTTATCCATGGTACATATTTTCGTAATTGGGATTCAATACGTAGAGAGGGCTTGAAACGTATGCAACGTACTCATATACATTTTGCACCGGGTGAAGTTGGTGAAACTGGTGTGATAAGTGGTATGCGTTCAAGTGCTGAGATTATTATTTATATTGATTTAATTAAAGCAATAAATGATGGATATAAATTTTACTTATCAAAAAATAATGTTATTCTATGTGAAGGAAATAAAGAAGGTTGTTTACCGACGAAATATTTTCGTGCAGCTTATCAACGTAATCCACGTGAGTGAATTTCCATACAAATATATATATATATATATATATATATATATATATATATATATATGATAATTGTTTAATATATCACATACTCTTCGACAATTGAGAATTCAGCCTATTCCTACCAATAATGGGTCCATTAACGCCATCATGTTTGGTCTCAAGTTCGACTCCTTATTCTACTTAGGTCAGCTTTGGCAAAAAATCTCATATATAAAGCGTGGCTCAAAGCCAACCCACATGGATTTCTAGTTGGTAGGATGAGTCACAAAAAATCATTCATAAAACTACACTAAATTCACCTGTTAGTAAACCCAACCACCAATCAAAGATTATCCAAGTAAAATAACTTGGATTTGTTTAAATCAGAAATCCACTCGATTATAAGCATGAAATTGGTGATCCCAACTTTCCATGAAATATTAAGTCTCAACAGGTAAACAAAAAAGAAATTTGTCATAGAAAATTAAGAAATAGGGCTATATCGCTAATTAACTGTAATTTATAATTGGCGAAATAAACGAGATATCACTGAGGTCAATAAGTAGGCAGATACAGAACTTACAAGTAGAACAGTATTGAAATACCATAAACCAAGTGTTTAATAAATAAATATAGAAAGGCAAACAAACTGATTCTTCAAGAAAAGTTATATAATTTCCATAATTTTCTTTCCACGTTTCTTTCTCATAGGGAATCACTATTGTGTAATATTTAAGCTAGACATACAGTACTTATGTCCTGATAGTAGATCAGTTGATGAGAGGAGGGAATATGGAACTTCATTGACTTCGATATCTTTTACACAATTTTGGAAACTCCCTATCCAGGCCTATAGAGCTCATTTACCAAATAAAAGCTTGGGTGCTAGACTATGAGTCACACTTTTGATGTAAGGCCTAACGACAACGCACTGTTATTCAGACTGTTCTAAGTGTCTTAGGGTTTGAACCCAGCACTTAATGGTTGAAAGCTGGGTACTTTAACTTCTAAGTCATTAACGCAGCTTTTTGTCCTTCCCAGCGTACTCTGGAAGTTAGTTAGTTAATCCCACACAGACAAGTCGATTGGATTATCGGAAGAAAATAAATTTAGTTAAAATATACGAGATTATAACACCGAAGAAACCAAAGCAAACGGGAACACTGGCAGTTTACTTTGGTACAATTCGTGTATATTAAGGACTTCGAGTCAACCATACTTTATGAATTAAACGAACACATTACTAGTCTACTTTTGTACAGCTGCATTAGGGACATTCCCATCGGGAAACCCAGTAACAACCCAAAAGCATTGAGAACAATAATGAATAGAAACCAGTATGAAACATGAATAACAACGCAAGTGTTTGTTACATGCATGTATAAAATACATGAACCAGAGTATATGCAATACATGTTACCTATACTAGCATAGATACTTTCTATCACAAGTATACGTTACTTACTTACATATGTAGAATACATAGACCAATGCGTATACACTACATAGTATATACATGGGTATGGGTGCGATTTGCTTTTGCTACTTATAGGTCGGAGTTCAATCCATTGACAAAGAGAAATGAATCAATTAATTGCGTTCAAATCATTTGAATAAAGCTGTCTATTGACGATCAACTCCACACCCATACCATAGACAAGTTTAGAGTCCTGTGCACTGGTTACGACACAATTTATGGCCATCACTCTGGATCACACCGGACCTGACGGTCTTTCTTAGAGATAATCCATTCAGGCACCAAACAAAATAAATTCCTTTTTACGTTTCTTCATTTTATAATTATTTTTACCACACACCGCTCATATAGTCCATATTTACAATAGAGTGGGGGACTAGTACGATATCCATCCCTCATGTTAGCTCATGAAACAAAGTCCCGTCATCTTCGGGGCACCTTGAGGTGTTAGTTGGACTCTACCCTGTCCCATAGAAACAAATTAGAATAACATCCCAAATGGCTGGTGTTGACGATAAATCGCACAGTTAAAAACAATCTCACTTCATATTCTGTCTTAGTAATCAATCCATAAGGTAATTTATTATTATTATTATTATTATTATTATTATTATTATAAGCTGTATAAAGATGTGACATACTCTTTGATTAATGTGAGAGATGGGAAGCTCTGTTAGGTAACTTTGTGCAAGGTTTTTTTGAGAAACTTCATACACGCACAATCCATTTTATTGTTTTGAAGAGAGCAAGAACATATATTTGCGCAAAATAACATGAATTCATATTATTTCGAAAGACTGCTACTTAAATTAAAACATTTTTATGTAAATTAACTCATTCCTCAGGCACTTGAATTACGAGCCACACTCTTAGTACGAGTGCTGATAATATACTAGCTGGTTGCTTAAACTGAGGTAGGATTGATCAAAGCTCGAAACCGGAACATATTGTTTGAAAGTCAAACTCCTTAACCATTAAGCCACCACTCCAAAACTGGTTCCTATAAGCATGACAAAAATTCAATCTTAGTTTGATAATACCGCACACCATCTAATTAATAATGTAATAATGAGGAGTTCATTAAGTCATGTTCTGATAGATATGTTTCTGAATTGAAAATAGTTGTGGCGAAATTACTGACTCTATTATGAATGATGATGGATTCACCATAAAATACTAATTTCCCTTTTAATTCCATATATGTTATAATTAGGTTAACCCTATTGGGCAACAGTGATAATAAAAGCGATATATGAATTGAATTAGAATTTTATTTTAGGCATTGATTTTCAAGCAGACGTATGATAAAAATGAATAGAGCGTAGTGTGGTCTATGATTGTTGTTAACCAATCGACGTTCTTTAAGAGTTTGTCATCTTTCACGTTGGGTAAAGAATATATCACAAACAGGCGAATACCTAGGCAACTAATCATTCTATAAATAACAATCAATATACGTACACACACACAGTACATATAAGAACACTCTGAAGGTTAATATGTATGATAACTTAACAAAGGCAAATATGAATGTACAGAGGAGATTCACGTGGGCATTGTAGTGTCTATATGGGCCTCTATACAATTAATGAAATGACAGAATATTTCAAATATTTTGGTTATATGTTTATTATATGCAACGACATACAACCCATCTATTAGAATTTTTCAACAAGACGCATAATAACATACAGTTTATCATAGAACAATATGTTCCATTTCCTTAACGTTACCAATAACAAAAGTGATCAGTTGGTACAGTTCAGAAAAAAGTTGACAAGACCCTAATAAGCTCAAATAAATTCATGTTATTTTCCGCGTCTTTATTTTTACTCTCTCCATGAAATACAAAAGAGGAATATTGACCAGTCCCAACTGGATTCGAAAGTTACTGTTACCAAACTCAGTCCTCTAGCTAACTACTCTTCTCATGAAACATGAAGGGTGATGTGATGAATTTAAATCTTTGTGATACAAGGTTATGGATGTACATTACTCTAGGTAGCCTTATACTAAGATCAAAACACATTTGTTCGTTTTATTATGGCTTAGATCATAGATTGGTCTTAATTAGACAACCATCGGAAACCAAGAAACACTGAACAGGTGGCTTATTTTAGTATGGGACGCCTCATTAGTGCACACTAATAACATGAGCCTATCAAAGGTCACGGCAATTACCTTCTAGTCTCGCGACGAGCGCTTAACTTTTAGACCACTTTGTTGGCATCCATTAGTTTTTATTTCTAATTTCAATTGATTCGCGATGTTGCACAATTATCGTCCAATAATATTGGTAAGTAACTGCCTCGCTACCAGAAAGTTTGGACTTTAGTGATGATGGCTTCTTGCCAGAACTCTGAGAATCACATCTAGAAATAAGTCGCAAGTGTACATATTCTATCGTATCTTGTTTTTTGGTATAATATTATAAAATCCCTGAATATCTATCATTAACTGCCTGTCCATTAAGATTATTTTTTAAATTAAATTTATTAATATAGAATTGCGGAGATTGTTGAATTTTATCGAAATTATGAACTTATTTAATTTAGAAAGTCATTGAAAACCTGGAAGCTTTGAATGGCTGTTCCGTTCTAGTATGATGCTCTACACTAGTGCACATCGACGACCCCGCAACGAGGAATTGAACCCCGAGCCTTCATTCTTGAGCTTCGACAGGTATTTTCTGGAGTTCTAGTGCGAAGCTGTGACTAGTGGAATTCAAACTTGTCGGATATGTGACAGTTACTCAACACAGGCAATGAAGGATGGTGATGTAATATCGCGAATCGATTGAATTTAGAGATTAACACCATTGGGTGCCAGCTCAATGGTTTAAAAGTTAAGGGTTCACGCGCAAGACCAAAATTCGCGAGTTTGATTTCCTGTGGTGGGGTAATGAATTCGCACTGCAGAACAGTCCAGTACTATAACGAGGCGGCTGTTCAGTGTTTCGGGGTTATTAATTGTTGTCTAACTTAGACCTGTTTGTGATCTCAGCAAAATTTAATTTTTCTTGATAGACTACCTCAGTAAATAGAGTAGGGGTCCGAATAAATCTTATCATTTACAAAGAAACTTGCATAAAATTCATTGATATCATAGTTTTTCTTCTGCTTTGTGCCCGCTAACTATATGCTTCATTCGACAACTCAATTATATTAATATGTATATATATACTAAAATTGTTTGGTGACCCCCTCACTCTCCGCATAGAATTCTTATATATTCCGTCAACCATCGGTCAGAATTCTAGAAAGATTAGATAAGCACATCATACTCTCTCATATTTTTATTGAACTTAAAAAATTCACGTGATCTTATACATTAAATATGAGGTTACAATATATGAAATTGTAATTTGTATAAAACTAGGTCATATGTTGTATAGAGCCAATTAACAGATATATGAATATTTAATTGTAATTCATGAACAGTAGGGGATTTTTCAACACTTAATAAGTTAAATAAATGCTTTTAATCAAGGTAAAGATGCCATAAACCAGTACATACATGTTATCATATATATGTAGATCGATACCCCAGAAAATAGCTTTCCAAGTTTCACATTTTTATATTTATTCATCACAATTTTAACAAATATAGTATTATCAAAAGGGATTTGTGGAGATTTTAGAAATTTTACAGATTGAAATCATAAGTCAATTGAAGCTAGACCAACATGGAAAACCTGGAAGCACTGGACGGCCGTTTCGCCCTAGTATGGGACTCCTCAGCAGTGCGCACCTGTGAGATTCAAACCCAGGACCTATCAGTCTCGCGCACGAGCGCTTAACCAATTAGACCACTGAGCCGGAATATATATATATATATATATATATATATATATATATATATATATATATATATATACAAACTTATTATTCAGACCTTCTTTGATCCACTTCTTTTGACTTTAAACAATCCTAAACGTTAGATAATTCCCATGACGAGATAAGACCACAGTTGACCATATGTTCAAGGATTGACCTGTTTGACTGGCATAGATTTCCTTTTTAAATAGTAATACACAGTAGCACTCGAGTATGCATTTGACAAATCTACTCTGTTTACGACCAATATAACCTGTTCCACATCAACAATTAAACTTATAACCGCACACTGAGAGATGGTTCAAAGCAGTGATCGTTTTCCATCAAAAGAATTATCGTTCAAGATTATTCACTAATCCAAAAGAACTGTCTGAAAGTGTGTTCAGATCAGAAATTTGCACAATTCAAAGCTGATCTCTTGTTTTATCAAGGTTTTAGCACCCATTTTCTAATTCAGTATATGTATGAATATATACATCTAGTTTAACTTCCAAAAGTTCACTACTTTAGAATAGTTATTGATATTGATTATCTATTTACACATATGATTTTTATAAGTTTATGTCATATGATATATTGAAATAACAATTATTATTATTTGCTAAAGTACTACAAGTTTTTGACTAAGTAACACAATATCAATGCTAAGCGGTAAGATCTCAGACTATATAGTTGAATAATAACATGGTTTCAAATCCGATAACGGGCATTCAGATTATCTAATGGTTCATCATCAAGTTGGAATTGAATAATTTTCAAGTTTATGTTAATATATAGGAAAGTAAAAGTTGTTCTCTAATTGAACAAAGTCATTATAAATCACTCAGTTGTTTGTTTACCGGTAAACTAACCTTGAAGTGAATTTCTTTAAATTCTATTGTGAAGCCATAATACAGTGGAAGTTCAATAAATATATCAACTTCACAAGTGATTTCACCGCTATTATACTTCACACAAAATAATGGCTCAGATGAGTTAAAACATCTTCCGGCAGTTACCAGATATATCTTATTATTTCCAACCACTTAACATGTTTCAGCTACCAGCTTTGACTATCCTTATGATAAACTTTGTGAAATTTTACGCTTGAATGATTTACACATATTCTTAAAATCTATTAAAATTGGTGTGTTTCCAAGCTATGAGAAACCTATAGTAACAATGTCATTATTTATAAGGTGAATGCTTCATGAAGCATTTACAATCCTCTATTAGGTGTCTTGTAAAATATATGATACTTTCTATTTAGCAGTGTTTATAGGCTAATCCACATAAAAATTATGTAAATGCTTCCCATTGACCTCATAATACATTTTCAGTTGATATTGATTTAATAATACGAACAAACAGTTATTAGGACGCTTAGTATCTTGAGTCCGATATAGAGATACACAAACTTCCTATTTACAAACTCCTAACCAGCTACTGAATGAGATGACTAAAATGGGAAAGGACATTTATTGGACTAAACCGATTCACAAGCATAAACGCTCATTTATATAACAGTATTGTTATATCCTTATCTCAGTTTATAATATTAATTGAGATGGGATAAAATGTAAAATCATATTTAGGTTGAGTGTGATATCTTTAATTTGAATATGTAATGTAATATTCATTTAGCGTAACTTTCTATCCAATTATTTTATCATAAAATTCTCAGTATTTTCAGTTACACTTGATATTCATTGACTAACCATCAAATATCAGAACTCGTTTGTTTTTCTTACTTGGAGGGTAAATCATGTCTTGATATTGCCATCTATTTGTGTATCTTCTATCTGCCGCTTAGTTTCAATTTCAATTCCCTGTTTTTGAAGTTGACTTTCTACATTTATAGCAGACAGTAGTATCAGGTCAAATGGTCTTGTGTAAATTATTTCACGTTGAATGTGATATTCATTATGAATTAACTTATTTCAAGATGAGTTAATGAAGTTTTACTAAGAAGTTGTGAATTTAATCATATCATGAGTAAAGCAGTCGTTATTAAAACAATTGTATGAGCATTGAACAATGTCACAAGTTAGTTGAAACTAGAAATGTAAACCATTAGTTATCACAATTGTATGAACGAAGAATATTCTTTTCAATAATTTCTCATCAGGTTCTACAATTATAAATCCACATTAATAATCCATAAAATTGGCCATATTTAAGGCAAATTGGAAATTGTAATATGTGAATCAGGAATTGTTTGTTATATAAATAAAATTGTTAATGTTGGGGCTAATATAAAGTGTTAACTTGAATGAGTTTATAAGCGAAGTGAAATTGTGAGATAAATGATCAGAATAAATATGGTCAACATGGGTAAGAGAGAGAGAGAGAATATTGTGATTACAAATCGGAAATTGCGTAATATGTAAAATAATTAGGTCAAATATAGTAGATTCAGGGGTGGATATTGAATAAATTTCTCAAAAAGGGTTTATCAAGTGTAAAGACAATAATAGTAATAATAGTTTCCAGAATAAACTCTCTCTTTTGCTATGAAATTTGAAGATCTTGTAATCGATCCCTAGTGTGTTCGTAGGTAGATTACCATTGAAGAATCACATACGACGATGAAATATCTGTCTAATATTCCCTTGTTTCCACTAGCTTTACTGTTTAAATACTTGATATTCAACCAATGAGCTATATGTGTTATCTTCTTCCTCTTGCATTGTGTACATCTTCAGTTTTCTCATGTTTCATATGTTATTTTTCAGCAGTTATATCGACGTCTCTCTCTCTCTCTCACTGTATAAATATAAGCTTTGTCATTACTCTGTATTGTTTATTGATCGTTTCTATTATTCATATTGTACTTTATGTTTCATTTTTTTTTGTGGAATATATACATGTGTAAACACGTATGAATATTTATGAATTAAAATGCACATATATCTCTATATACTTGTAGTTAAACTATAATGCCAAGTATATTTTACCGTATATAATCACTTGTTGTCGGATTAGATAATATTTAGTTGTATATACTTAAACTATATGGATTATTTATTCTGTTTTTGTTCTTTTTTTTTGTTGTTTTTTTTTACATTTTTATTGATTTTAATTATGTACAAATAGTTTATTGATTTCTACGTTGATGTTGTCCAATTCTTTTCATTATTTCAAGAATATTAAAGCTGTATATTTTTGTGATAATAATAATAATAATAATAATAATGGTAATATTAACGGTAATAAACAGCAATAATAACAGTGATTTAAACACTTATTATATCATGTTATTGTGACCTTATGCATTCAAGTACAAACTGTCTGTTTCTGCTTTCATATAAAATTGTAGTTTATTGTGCCATTGATAAGTGATTGTACGAAACAGAATCCTTAACTGTACTTTGTAACTCTTTAGGGAAGTTTTCGACTTTTAAGGTTTATATAGAAAGCAAGAGGAAATGTTTAGGACTTTGTGACCTTGAGAGGTTGAAAAACATTCTAAGATTGGCAATAAATTCAATAAAATCATTCAATTAGGATCATGTAAACAATTTCTCGTGAAAATTTCTAACAATCGTTTTGATTGATTGAAGTATGTTCAGCATTTTCTTAGATTCAGAAAACTTTTTCGATGACTTATCAAGAACACTTAAAACGCATTGATTTATGTCTTTATATAATAAAATTGTCACTTTACAATTGTACCCTTTTCTATTGTGTACTCTGAGATTCAATTCATTCTAACATTTTATTATCCAACTGTGTGGTGAGAGAAAATTGTGAAGTGTTATTTTTTATAACTGAATAGTAACGTTTACAATAGTTCATCAGACAGACATGAACATGTAAGGAATAATAATAGCTTTGTTTAAATGAGTAATTCCCTCACTGACTATGCCCTGTCTAAACATATCATTACGGTGTGGCTTGGAGATACTATGTGACTTCTCCAACTTTACCCGACATATCACCTCAAGAAACTTCCCATCATTATAGTTCTCAATACCTAGACATTTGGATTACTCCATTTTTAAAATACATTGACTGAAGTAACATAGCGAATATTTCAATGATTACTACTTGTATATGTGCTATATAATATTCAACTTATTGTACACTGATTTGTTTATATTACTGTTTGTTGTTTTTCTTTTCTATACGTGCACAGGTCTTAAACTTTCACTCACTCCGTAAAACAGCTGACTTGAATAATGCTTCTCGTATAAAGAACATACTTATATTTGTTGTGTATAAAGATAAAATTCTCACAAACATTCTGATACAAAAGTACAAAATTCTGTCAATACAGTTATATCGTGATTATGTTTACTTCCAGTTTCAACTCTACATTAGTGCACTACACTTGAACAGCCCACTTTCATATATTTATCTGTATCTTTTGTTTTCTGTTATATAATATAAACTACTTTTACTTTAAACGAGTAGTTTGTTGTTTTGGAGACTATTTTATTTCATTTTTCAGATAGATAATCAGATTCGTTGACTGATTTTTGACTTTTTGGTTTGATATTGTATAGCATATATATATTTTTTTTTATATTTGGATTTTACTGAGCTGCATATTCTTATGCATATTACACAGAATTTTACACATTTGAATTACTACACTATAAAGAGTTATTATCAGTCCTAGTTGTTTTTACTTTACGTCATATCTGGTTTACATATTTTGGGTGGGGAAAACCTTGTGTTGATACATTGTCTCCTGTTTATATTCTCCGCTTATATTGTTATCATAAAATATCTGTCAAGTTGAACCGCTGTACCCCACCTTCGTCAATTCTATATGATAATGCTTTGTGGACACATCCAGTGTAAGAAAGTTATCGTGTAATGACACTTGGTTATGATCGCACATTTTATATATAGTTGACTGGAGTAGGAAATGTGAATCGTTGCTGGTTGTAAACTCAATGATCTCAAAGTAATGCAACCAGTATGATGGTTGTCCTGAGTCCTTTTTTAGCGGGGTAGTGTATCCACACTTGAGAAGTGCAGTACTCGAACGTAGTATTCATTCAGTGACCCTTGGTTTTCTAGTGGTTCTCTAACTATATCCAATCTCTCATATACTTCATGATCGAGGTCTGTCGTTTCGTTTTGGTTTTTCTTATCGTGAATCAGTTTAAGCCGACTAAAAAGGATCGTATTCAAACGTCGATGGGTTGTGGACGAGCAAACAACTGTTCAGCCATCCCAGGTTTGACTGAGATTAGTCAGTAGTTCATACTGAAATGTTCAACAGTATCCAAAAACCGCTTATACTGATATTTAATTGGTCGTCATCTACATATTATTGTAATAGGACGACTATCTCCTAGTCATTGGATTAATTGATTCAGAGTTTCCAACACTTCTCTAAATACGGTTTGGGCAACTACATCAAAACGTCTAGTTCAAAATTGAGTAAACGAAGCCTGTACGGCATTATCAGGTCCCACCATAATAATAATAATAATCTACACTCCATGAAGTGTAGGAAACTGTCGATATTTTGATGAATGGTCTAAAAATTATCTACAGTGTAAGTGTTTCAAATCAATAATACTATTAGCCGGACAATTCTTTACTCACATTGACCTATCTGACGATCGAGTTCCTCGCATCAATGTAGTAGTTGTAATGATGACAGTTATTACTATAGATTTATTCAATACTTTAAATTTCGTAACATTAAGGAAATCTTAATACTAGCTATGGAATATTGTGATGAGGTTCCCTTTAACTTACATTCAATATGTAATTATCCCTGCAAATATGTGACTCGCAAAATGTTTCCAACAGTCAATATCCGCCGCTGGTCTATTACTTTAGCTGCTAAGATTTTTTTCACCCACCGGAGATATTCATTGAGTGGATTTCAATATAGTCAACTCTCTTCTCTACAAACAATAAACTAGGAGAGAAAATGCCAAAAAACTATAGTGTTTCTTTTGGTATTGTTTTGCTTGTATCTTCCCATTGAGGTTTAAGAGTTCAATCGATCAGTCTGTTATTGGCATATGTGGTCAATTGCAGTCTTAAAACTCAATGGGAAGATACAAACAATACAATACCAAGCTAATTTAAATTCAACCCATTGCACAAGCAAGCGGCTGTCATGACTCCGTAGCTGAGTGGATAACGCAATGGCGTTTGTAGTGAATGGTACTGGGTTCGGGTCTCGGAGTGAGTACCAACTCAGATGCAGGTACATCCATCTGACGAGTCCCAAATAGGATAAAAACGCCCGTCAAACTGGATTCCACTGCTAGCCACTACCCATCTTTGCTTATATAGTGTTTCTGTTAAAGTCTTCTAGTATATGCTATTGTAAGAAGTTGCAAGATTTATGGTTAGCAAATCGAAAAATAGAAAGTTTTATTGATTTATATGCACAGTAAAAAAATAAATATTCTTAACTTTTATGGAGTTGACCGACGTAGATAGCATCCAATTACTAACGATATTTAATAACATATTTAGGACAGTAAGAGTTATCACTTTGTTGGAGATACTGAGTCAAGTGAAATTTATCTAAACTGAACAACTAGATGATCAAGCATTAGGAAAGTGTTTAATGACAAAAGTGGACTGAGGAATATGACAATTCCATATTAACAGCAGTAATTCCAGAATTGTATGTATTGGGGGTTGTGGCAGTATTAAGTTAGTAAGTCAAATATGTCTCTGGAGTTAATAGTTTGTAAGTACTGACAGTATTTAGAAAGACATAGCATTGAACTCATCATCTATTTTGGATCTTTTAATAGTAGCCAATAAACCATAACACTATTGCTCAGTGTTGTATCAGAAATTTTAAATATCTATCGCAAACTATAAGATGTATTGCATAAATGTTTTGTATTTTATTTGCCTAATCAGATGAGTTATGCGTCTGAATAATCAATATCATTCGTTTAACTTAATGGTGTTCTGATATATTCGTCATTTGTGTATAGAAAGTACAGTAACAGAATCAATCAATTCATTTATAGTATTATATTTGAGTACATAATAGAAACTACTCTAAAAATGAGACTGAGTAAAATTCTTTGTGATACTAGCAAACCAAAAAATTAACTAAATTAGTAACTAGAAGCATGACTCTTATCATCTGTTCCAATAATAATTGTGATCAAATAATTAAAAATAATTATCATTTTTGTTTCCAGATCATATGTCACACTAATCTATTAAAAGGAATTTATTTTTAAAAAGTCATATAGTTTGCTTATTTGTTTACAAGTGTTCACAAATCATAAGAACAGTACATAATCACAAAACTTCTTAGACAACGTTTGCCTACTTATAAGTAGTCAAAATTATATAGCTAAAATGTCAATCATAGGCTTTTGAATCAAAAAATTTCAAAATGAATATTAAATAAATTTTAAGAAGCCCCTTGTTTGTAGATCATGGACGATAACTAAATCAAACAATAAAGTCAAACCTGTAGATAAAATTCAACTGGAACATTAAATCAATATGATTACTTCAGGATATATATGGTTACTAATAACGTTTTTCTAAATCAATAAAATATATTCCATAATGTTTAAAATCTCGGGCTAACTTTGATTAGGTTAAAACTGGCAACCTGGAACCCCTGGATAACTGTTTCGTCCCATCAATGGTTCTTTTCACCAACATATACCTAGGATCATACGTCAAATACACTTTATTTATACCACAAAGTAAGAGATCCGTCAGTTTATATTGTCCAGTTTCATTCAATTCGTGATATTAGGCGAACATGATTCAGTATTATTAGTGATATTTGTCTTGGCCAATATCTGAAACACTCATATCTAATATCCAACAACAATTACAAATATCCATTTATACAATTCTTTATTGATTTCTTATATTTGTTATCATTATGATCTTTTATAAAATTAAAGATCAATGGGAACCACTTAGAATTAAGAACTCCTGTGAAGTTATCATTCATTATCTGATTTCATACTAGCCGCAGCATTGATTTGAAATAAAATAGTTTTAATTCTGGGTTGAAATTTAAAGAGGTAACATTTTACACTATGAAACTGAATGATATGGGTTGAAATTCTACAGAAAATAATAGTTATCTCAAGATTTCAAGTAAAAATTACTAACGAGTCCCAACTAGCATGAAACTTGGGTCAAGTAGAGCATCTAGTCAATTACCTCTAATCACTTAATGCTTAAAAATACGTGCTGCTTTCTAGATGCTACAATTTATTACCAGATAAAAATGAGTAATAACTTGGTGGAGGGTTGGAGATATTTCACTAACCAGTTTAAATAATATAGAGGAGCACTCGATTGACAAGTGAAAAATTTTGCATAAAACTACTGATTGGTTAAAAATTAAATTTTATCCGTTATTTTAATATTAAGATAATTCACGACAACATGTGCAGTACCACATTAGGTGATTGGAGGTAATCGAGAGGAAACCCCGAACCAAGATTCAGTTCTAGTTGGCACTTGTTGATGAAGCGTAGTCGGAGTTTAAGGGAACTGATACTCTGTGCGGGATTTGTATCCATGTAACCCGGACCCACTCTCTAGAAAATTATCATTAAGCTACTCAGGCTTCAAATGACCTTCTACACCACTGAGTTGTTTATACTGATCACTACTTACGTGTCACGACGAATGCCAATTAGCTCGAGATCAAACATGGTTTCCTGAAGACGAACTTTAACCACTTAACAGTTCAACATAATTCATTCAGTGTTAAGTCACTTAGACTAATAGTTAAACTGAAATTTGACTGATAGAATCTAAGAAAAACTAAAGGATTAGAAAAAGGTGAATTCGATCATTCAATTCATATAGTAGTATGTGTTCGAATTCACAGTTCCTTTTATTGCAAATGTTGTTAATTTTTTATCATATTCTCAAAAAAGATCATCATCAAATTCAACTGACTTCATAAGAGTAAAGGTTAGAAAACTTTTACAATGAAATTCACTCTTCTGATATTTAATTCACTTGATAAATTTAATAACATTTACTTCCGGCACATAAACAATCTTACCTATATAAGCAAAGATGGATAGTAGCTAACAGTGGAATCTAGGACGCGCGTTTCGTTTTATTTGGGACTCGTCAGCTAGATGTATCTTCATTTCAGAGTTGATATTCACATATACCAATAAGAGACTGATCAATTGCAGCCCTAAACATCAATGAGAAGATTCAAGTAAACAATATTAAGTGAATTTAATCTCACCTATATTTATTCAAGAATATAATAATTATATATAATTAACATTAAAAGAATGAGTTTTGACAGTATTTTAAAGATCTTAAAGTATTTGAAATGTTTTTTTTGTCTAGACAGAAGGTACTTTATGTGTTAAAGGGAGTATATAAAGTAGTGTGAATGAGGAGAGATTGAGAAGAGAAGAACAAAAGGAAAAGTGAAACGATAACCTAGTAAACCCACACAATGTATTTACATTTATTAGGGAAAGCAATCAATAACAATCTGATTAAAACAATCTTGAAATTGAAACTAAGAGTTAATGGTTTAACCCGTTACATTACTTTATTTTTATGTTTATATTATGGTACTTAATCATAAATAGAACTAAGTAAACAATAATCAGAATGAACAATTCAAACGAATCACCTTAAATAAATTTCATTCATCACA